GCCTCGAGTTGCAATATGGAGAGATTCTATGGGCAAAATACTGAATGATGCAGGAAACAAAAAGAGAAGATGGCAGGAATACACAGAATCACTGTACCAAAAGGAAATGGTTGATCTTCATCCATTTCAGAAAGTGACATATGATCTAGAACCAATGGTACTGAAGGAGGAAGTCAAAGCTGCAATGAAATAAATGGCAAAGAACAAGGCTCTGGGAATTGACGGAATACCCATTGAGATATTTCAACAAATGGATGCCCCATTGGAGGCACTCACTTGGTTATGCCAAGAGATTTGGAAGACAGCTACCTGGCCAACTTACTGGAAGAGATTCATATTTGTACCCATTCCAAAGAATGGTGATCCCATAGATTGTGGAAATTATAGAGCAATATCATTATTATCACACTCAAGTAAGATCTTCCTGAAGATAATTCAAAAACGGTTGCAGCAGTATATTGACAGAAAACTTCCAGATGTGCGAGCTGGATTCAAAAGAGGACGTGGAACATGGAATATCTTAGCTGTTGTCAGATGGATATTGGCTCAAGGCAAAGAAAACCAGAAAGATGTCTACTTGTGTTTTATTCATTAGGCAAAGGCATTTGATTTTGTGGATCAGGACAAATTATGCATAACATTGAGAAGAATGGGAATTCCCGAGCACTTGATTGTACTCACAAGGAACCTGTACCATGACTAGGAGGCTGTCATTCGAACAGAACAAGGGGACACTGCATGGTTTAAAATCAGGAAGGTAGTGTGTCAGGGTTGTATCTTTTCCCCACACTTATTCAATCTATATGCTGAACAGATAATCCGAGAAGCTGGACTATATGAAGAAAAACATTGCATCAGGATTGGAGAAAGAATCATTAACAACCTGAGATACGTACACGATACAACTTCACTTGTTGAAAGTGAGGATGACTTGAAGCATCCTCACTGATGAAGGTTGAAGAATGAAGTCTGTAGTATGGATTATGTCTCAATATAAAGAAAACAAAAATCCTCACAACTGGACCAATAAGCAGCATCACAATAAATAGAGAGAAGATTGAGGTTGTCAAAGAATTTACGTTGCTTGGTTCTACAATCAAGGCCAATGGAAGCAGCAGTCAGGACATTAGACAAAGTGTAGCATTGGGAAAGTCTACCAGGAAGGAACTGTTTCAAGTGCTGAGGAGCAAGGATGTGTCCTTGAGGACTAAGGTGCACCTGACAGAAGCCATGATATTTCCCATTGCCTCATATGCATGTGAGAGCTGGACAATGAATAAGGAAGACCGAAAAGAGTTGATGCTTTTGAGTTGTGGTGCTGGCGAAGAATGCTGAAAGTACCATGGTCTGTTAAAAGAACTAACAGATCTATCCTGGAAGAAGCGCACGCAAAATGCTCCTTGGAAGCAAGAATGGCCAGGCTTTGTCTCACCTATTTTGGTCATGTTTTCAGAAGGGACCATGCCTTGGAGAAGGATGCCATGCTTGGTAGGGTGGAGGGTCGACAAAAGAGGGAGAAGCCTTCAACCTAATGGATTGACATGATGGCTGTGATGATGCACTCAAGTATAGCAGGGGATGTGGGGCTGGCGCGGGATTGGGCAGTATTTTGTTTTGCAGTGCATGGGGTCACTATGAGTTGGAAACAACTCGACAGCACCTAACAACAACAACAAACTCTTAAGGATATATAGTGCTGGTCCTAATCTCTCAGATTTGGATAGAAATAAATTCTTTGTTTTCCTTCTACTGATGGACAATGACAACAACAAAAATAATGTGAACACAGACTTCATTAAGAAAAAATTTAAACAAATAAGGCCTGGTTTGGTCTTTTCAAGTTTAGCTGCAACGTAATTGGAGGGGGGTTTAGGGCTAGACAGGAGTAGATACTTGTAAGGAAATAAACTGACTTACAAAAGAAAGAGCTATTGGAGGTGTTTGAACAATTTATCTCAGAAAGATCAGCATAAGGCTAGTCCCCACGAGGCAGAGGTTGACAATGTCCCAAATGTCCAAACTGCCATGCCACTCCATCATTTCAGACATTAACTCCTCCTCCCCTCCCAGTAATCTCCTGCATCTTAGGGTTCTGTATTTCACTGTAACGCCTCACAGAACTCACAGACACCCAAGGGTTCGTCTCACGTAGTAGTGCTGGAGGCTGGCAGGCTGGCGAGTTCCGGGTCCGTGAGTGGGTCTGGAGGATCCTCCCAATTCTCGGTGTTTGATGAACCTCGGTCAGAAGATCAGATGACAGCTGCTGGCCCAAATCCAGGGGTAAGATGAGGATGATCCAAGACACAAAGCCGGAGCAAGAGGAGGGCGAATCTGCCCAGGAGTTTCGTAGGTATATCCTCAAGGAAGCTAAGGGTGGTGATTTGAATTATACCCTCCAGCAAGGCAGGACTCAAGATACATTCCATTTGTGTTGCCCCAGTAGAAATAACCCAAGTAGATGGCTTTAACAATTAACAGCTCAAGGCAAATCCCATCACAGAGCCAACTGCCAGTCATTATAGGGAATGACTACTATCAGCTGCCCAGACAAATTGACACCTGACCTTAAGTACCATACCACCCCAAACAGGCATGGATAATAGCTGTACAGTACACCACAGAATGGAGGACAATGGCTAGAAGGGCCACACCAAGCAATTCACCGCAGGAGGAAAGAGAGTAATGTAAATGATTCTTCAGGACATGAATAGTGGGATGGAGAAAAAGCACCTGTCTTATAATATTTCACATTGAAAATGAATGAACTAAAAATAGGTTGATAGACCTTGGTCAAAAATAGTGGAAGGCAACATGCAGCTGAGTCAAACTCAAGCATTTATCTAGAAAATGAACATGACAAGGTAACAGGAGACCCCTAGGTTAAGATAAGTAGGGACAAGACACTGAGATGCCGACATGAAGAACGTAAGCTAAGAGACTGCAAAAGGAAGCATCAGGAACAGAGCTGACTAACTGACACAAGTGAGCCAAAAGAAAGTCAGGACCGATGCATGGATTGAGCAGCAGCGGCCAGAATGAAGCCGGCTTGTCCTGTGCCAATTTCCCACCAAGGGTAAGAAAAAATCTGTTTGTTGTTAAATCTGAATTAGCAGCCAAATGGCATTTGCTAAATAATGATAGTAACAAAACACCTGCCTTAGAGTCCACTGCAACTCCTGGTGACCTCCTGTGTGTCAAGTAGAACTATACTCCATAGTTTTCAATGGTTCATTTTTCTGAAGAAGATCAACGGCCCTTTCTTCTGAGGTGTCTTTGGGTGGACTTGAACCTTCAACTTCTCAGTTGGCATCTGAGGATGTTAACGTTTTGCACCACACAGGGACTCCATTTGTTAAATACATAGTAGAAATAACTAAGAAGATGGGGATGTATGTCAGGTTTGTTGTTTGTATGCTGTAATTTGTATTGCACACTCTTTTTTATGCATATATTCTACTTTATTTAAGAACAACACTCTCAAACCACATCAGTTTAAAGACAAATGTTCTACAATCTTTCCCTAAAACTACTGGCTATGGATTGGAATTTAGTATAAAATGAATTTATAATTTTACTTGAAAGAAATCTAGAATTTTTTTTTTTTTTTTTTTTAGTTATTCTACTATGAATAAATATGTGTTATAAATTAGCTTCACAACTTGGACACAAGGGCAGAAAATATGTCTAGGATTTTTAATTATACCTATACATTGTAAAGGAGCTCTGGTAGCATAGTGCCTAAGGCACTTGACTGCTAACCAGAAGGCTGGTGGTTCAAACCCACCAGCCACTCCTCAGAAGGAAGATTGGGTAATCTACTTCCATAGTGATACCACCTCGGAAACCCAAGGAGGGGTTGCTATGAATCGGGTCTGACTCGACAGCAAATAACAACAACAACAATACACTGTAAGATTAATGATTCTAAATTTACTCATTTGTATATTCATTCACTCATCTATTCAGTAAATCAGCCAATCGTACTTACTGAGTTCCTTCTAAACAGTAGACACTTTTCTATCTGTGCAGGTCTCTTGGTGATGCAATGGTTTGTGTTCCACAACTGACATAAAAGTTAGTGGTGATTGCAGGAGTAAGGCCTGGCCTTCCGTTACTGTAAAGAGTATAAAACCAAACTCGCTGCCATTGTGTTGGTTCTAACTCATAGTAACCCTATAAGACAGAGAAGAACTGCCCTATAGGATGTCCAAGGTTGCAAATATTTACGGAAATAGATTATGTCATCATTCTTCCACTATATTGCTTGTTGGTTTGAACTGCTGACCTTTTGTTCAGCAGCCCAGTGCCTTAACCACAATGCCACCAGAGTATAGCCAAGAAACTTCTATGGAACAGTTGAATTCTATGAAACACACAAGATTGCCATGAGTCAGACTCAACGGTACTGGGTTCCTCGGTTCTAGGGTAGCTTGGTGAGATGAGAGATGAGATCTCTTCAACAGCAAAGCTCAGTGGGATCTAAGTGAAAAATCTGCAGCTAGAATGATTAAGAGGTATCATGAAAAGCAAAATAAAATACTTGAAAGTTATTTAATGCTCTCTAAGAAATTTAGAGAAATGGTAATCTAGCCTAGAAAATGGAAAAAAAGAGGAAATAATTAGAAATCATACACTCAGGATAAGTGTTTCAATGTTTTATTTTAGTATATATATTTTTCCTTATAAAAATAAAATCTGCTGTATAACTGTTTCTAAGTTGATTTACTTAATGAATGTTGACCATTTTTTGAGTGGATACATTGTTCTTCAACCTTATTCCTCACTGCTACAAGCATTTTCATATATGATTGTTACTGCATATATTTAAGTATCCCTAAACATTGGACATTTTGTGCATTTTGCTTTTTAAAAAGCACATGAGTTTTGTTAGCAAGTCTTTGCTGGCAAATCTAGATAGAATCATTTTCTAGGTGATGATAATTTTATTTTCAGAAACACAATGTGATATTTATGTTTCATTATTATCTCTTTCATTCAAGGTGTTATTAGAACAGCTTTGCCGAACATGGATAGGGAAGTCAAGGAACAATACCAAGTGCTCATCCAAGCCAAGGATATGGGTGGACAACTGGGAGGATTAGCTGGAACCACAATCGTCAACATCACCCTCACTGATGTAAACGACAACCCACCTCGCTTCCCCAAAAGTAGGTTTTCCTTCTTATTAAGTCTAAATCAGTGCAGCTTTCATTGATTGATTTTCCTTTCTGCATCCTTGGATATTATAGGAATTGTAGTCATTTTCTAGACACTTTTGGTCAATAGGAAGCAGAAAGTGTTGGATACAGATAAATTCCTTCAACATTTAAAATTTCAATCAGAATGACGTCTGGTGTCGTTTATAGAAAGTAATAAAAATGAACCAATAAGTACACAAAGTTTCTTACATTATGAGTGTATATTAAAGTAAAATATTCACAATAGGTTGGGATGTTGTTTTAATTCCTTGATTAAAAAGTCATATTGTATATGTATATTTTAATTTAATTTAATACTACATGTTTATAACATATATGCCACCAAATCCTGTTTATTTTGTATAATTAGCTTAGTGATTATCTATCTTTTAATGTTCATATGTGCTGAACAATTTTTACAACTTTCATGTCAATATAAGATATTACCTTGGTGCTATTGACATTACTTCTGGTTATTTCATTTTAGTTTCGCAATAGGTGAAAATTGCTATAGTTTCTACGATAACAGCATGATTCACGCCTGTATCTTTCTGTAACTGTATTTTTCTTATTGAAAATGAGTACTTCTCACTTATGTACCATCCCGTTTTCTTTTGTGGTATTATATTTAACACCAATCAGTATCTAGTCCACTCCCAGTACATCTTGAAGGTTTCTTTTAGTGTTCCTAGGACTTAGAATAGTGCTTAATGTTTGTCTTACTGATTTTCTAGGAAAGTTGTTGATATCACTAGGTACTCATTTGCATGAATAGTTAAAAGCAAACACTATGATTTTATGGGTCTATCCAGTAAAGGGTATGCTACTGATAATATTCAATTAAATGGGTATTTTTATTTCTTTAGTTTTATATTTGTCCATATTTACTACTTTAGAAACCTCTCTATCATTTTCTCTTTAAAATAATCAGCCAAAATTTTCTGTATGGAAATATTTTTCTCAGTGATCAGAAAGTCTAATTGCTAAATCTTGAATGGCAATTAAAAACCATCATGCTTTAGGGAATGGAATGGATGTGACAAATGGCTGATATAAAATATGATATGATTAGTAACACAGAGGGTATTACAGTGTAATGGTCCCTTTACTATTAAGGGGACTGAAAAGACAATTAATAGACAATTAGTATGAATACATATTAAAAGTTGAAAGAGGTAATACACTTGATTCTGCAGCATATGGTATTGATGAAGGATATGTTAGAAATCAGTTTGGGTTTATTTTTATCATGAAAAAGGTGCCTGTGTGATGGAAATGGTTTGCACTGTGCTATCCAACTGAAAGTTTGGTGGGTTGAGCCCACCTGGTGGTCTGCAAAAGAAAGGACTGCCAACTGTTTGCGTAAGGATTATAGACAAGAATACCCTGTGGGTATCACTTCTACCTGTGGCAGCATGTAAGGGCACATGAGTGTGCTTAAGAATCAAGAGGGTATGACTAGGTCCCACACAAACAGGAAGACCATGTTCAGATTTCATCCATTATTGTTGTTGCTGTTAGATACTGTTGAGCCAGTTATGACTCATGGCAAGAGTCTGTACACAAAATGGAACACTGCCCAATCTTATGCCATCCTCACAATCCTTGCTTTTTTGAAGCCATTGTTGCAGCCGCTGTGTCAATCCATCTCATTCATGGTCTACCTCTTTTTCACTAACCCTCTACTTTATCAAGCACCATGCGCTTCTCTAGGATCTAGTCTCTCTTGATAATGTGTCCAAAGTATGTGAGATGAAATCTCACCACCCTTCTAAGCAGTGTTCTGGCTGTACTTCTTCTCAAACAGATTTGTTTATTTTTCTGGAAGTCCATAGTATATTCAGTCTTCTTCACCAAAAGCATAATTCAAACGCACCACTTTTTTTTTGGTCTTCCTTATTCATTGTCCAGCTTTCGCATGAATATCAGATGATTGAAAACACCATGGCTGAGGCACACCTTAATCTCCAAACATCTTTGTTTTTAAATACTTTAAAGAGATATTTTGCAGCAGATTTGCCCAATGCGATGTGTTATTTCACCTACTAGTGAAAAGAGGGGAGCTCTGGTAGCATAGTGCCAAAGGCACTTGACTGCTAACCAGAAGGCTGGTGGTTCAAACCCACCAGCCACTCCTTGGAAGAAAGATGGGGCAATCTACTTCCATAGAGATACTGCCTCGGAAACCCAAGGAGGGGTCGCTCTGAGTCAGGTCTGACTCAATGGCACATAACAACGACAACAACAAGTGAAAAGAGAAGCAGGTCCAGTGGTAGGCTTGTTTGGCATTTGTTTGGTCCTGCATCTAGAGGTCTAAGGTCTTCATTCTGGTGCACCCACAGGTGTAGTAAGTGTTGACTGGTGGCTCAGTGGTAGAACCCTAGACTTTGTGCTGAAGACCCAGGTTCAACTGTGGACCAGTCCACTTCAGCCTAGCCACTACCTGTCTGTCAGTGGGACTTTGTGTGTTGTTATGATGTTGATCAGGCTTCAACAGAGCTTCCAGACTAAGAGAGACTAGAAAGAAATGCCTGACAAACTACTCCTGAAAAATCAACTATTGAAAACCATATGTAACACTGTAGGTTAATCTTATTGTGTGTGAGGTATCCATGAGTTGGACCTACAGAACATTAGCTAACAACATTAAGAGGATGAGAGGAGGTAGGAGGACTTGTGGGAGAGAAGGGTGCTGAGACTTTATAGCCTCTATATAGCCATGCCAGGAACTTTTATGTTTGTTATGTTATTCTCTTCTCACAAAAATTCTCTGAGATCAATATATTTCACATTTTGTTGTGAAGAAAACTGAGGCTTATGGAGATTAAATAACATATTGCCCAACATCACACAATTAAGTGGAAGTTTTCTTGACTTGGAAGCTTAAATTCTCTCTAGTT